AGGGTTGTTCTCGATGGCACAGTTGATGCACTGCAGTGCGTGCTGCAGCCTGCCCTGCACGGCCAGGATCCCCGCGTCTTGGCGCGCCTGCTGGGCCTGGGCCACCATCTTCTGGAGCAGCATCCTGGCCTGCGGATGCTTGGGATTCAACAGCAAGGCGCCGTGCAGATCCCGGTAGCAGAGGTGGGGCTGCAGGAGGCCAGGGGTGGCATCAGGGGCACAGGTCAACTAAGCCATGGGACCTAGAGGCCTTTCTTCAGCAGGGTGGCATCACACCATGCCTCCTCCATGCCCCCCACCTCCTACCCTTTTCTGTTTTTTTTTTTTTTTTTTTTGAGATGGAGTCTCACTCTGTCACCCAGGCTGGAGTGCAATTGGTGTGGTCTTGGCTCACTGCAACCTCTGCCTCTCAGGTTCAACAGATTTTCCCGCGTCAGCCTCGCGAGTAGCTGGGACTACAGGTGCATGCCACCACACCTGGCTAATTTTTTTTTTTTTTTTTCCAGTAGAGATGGGGTTTCACTATGTTGGCCAGGCTGGTCTCGAACTCCTGACCTTAGGTGATCCACCCACCTTGGCCTCCCAAAGTGCCAGGATTACAGGGTTGAGCCACCATGCCCAGCCCCTTTCTACCTCTTGAAGGACACAAGGAGCATCATGGGGAAATTCCATCCCAGGCCCCATGCCAGCTGGCCCTTTGCAGATGTGACCTGAGGTGAGCCAGGTCCACCCCAGTGGTTTCTGCAGATGCTGCCTCCTTGTCAGGCCTCTGTGAAGCTCACTCAAGGTGTGGGGAGCGTGTGACCTCCTGACTGTGACAGTTGTGTCCTCCCTCCCCTCCCCTGCACTCCCTCTTCTCCTCCCTGACCTTTGAGCCCAAGACCACACTGCCCAAGCCCAGATTCTGGTCTGGGTACAGCAGAAACCTCCCCCAGCAAGTCCCTTCCACCGGGAGGAGGGGTGGGTGAGGAAGGCGCAGCTCAGCCCAGCAACAGACAGTTCAACACCACCCTGTTCCCTGCGGGGTGACTGGCTGGCAGGCGAACGGGGTGTAGTGGACGGCAGGCATGGGTGGATGGAGGGAGGGAAATGGCAGGAGCTAGGGGCAGGGCTTTGGAGTAGGCAGCCTTGGGCTCCAGGCAGTGCCACTGGGAACAGGCTGTGTGACCTTGGGCAAGTCACCTGGGGGTGGCTCTTTCTCTGTGAAAAGAGGACAGTGTGTCTCTATCCCAAAGGGTTGCTGCAGCCTCACAGTTAAACAGGGGCAAAACGCGGAGAACACGCCTACACATGGGAGGGGCTAAAATCGCAACAGTCACCAATAATTATCAATTACTAGTTCTCAGCTAGGCGCGGTGGCTCACACCTATAATCCCAGCACTTGGGAGGCTGAGGCAGCGGGGATCACCCGGCGAAACCCTGTCTTTCCTAAAAATGCAGACATTAGCTGGGCAGGCGCCTGTAATTCCAGTTACTCAGGAGGCTGAGGCATGAGAATCGCTTGAACCTGCCGGCAGAGGTTGTGGTGAGCTGAGATCTCACCACTGCACTCCAGCCTGGGAGACAGAGTGAGACTCTGTCTCAAAAAAACAAAACAAATTACTAGTCTCATGCCACTGAATCGCTTGTGGGACGCTGCAGCCCAGCCCCAAGGCACAGGGAGGAATCACCAGGGTGGACCACGCTCCCTGGAGTCGCTCCTGCCAGGGCGGCGGCGCTCCCTCCTGCAATGCAGGCTGGCATTTCAGCCGCCCCCAGGATGTCCCCACCTGGAGAATGAGATGCACCCACCCCACCCCGCCCACCTGCTCCTCCCCATCCTAGTTTCCCAGCTCCCCATCCACCCAGGCCAAGCCAGAACCCTTCTGGATCCTTCTGTTTCCTTCAAGCCCACCCCCAAGCCAGACTCCAGCCCTGCCTTCTGAAGGGCTGTGGGACTTGCCCCTCCTTGCTGCCCTCATGACCACCTTTCCCTCAGCCTCACCCAACTCTGCAGTGGCGCCCAGCCTCCTTCTCAGGCTCCTGCCTCCAGGCCTCCCCTCCGACCCACACTCCTTGCGGATACCAGAATGATCTTCCTAAAGCTCCCTGCCCTGGGGACACCTGATGGAGGCTCCCACTGCCTCTGGGGAGACTTCTCATCCCTGCCCTCCTCTCCTTGGTGCCCAGCACCCCCTCCACCTCCTCCCTTGTGACCCCAAGTTTCTCTTGCTCCCAAGCTGTTTCCTGTACTGTCTGTCCCTGTGCCCAGCCCAGGTTGTACGGGTGGTCAGGGGTAGGGGTGATTCATTGAGGCAAACAGGAAAAAAGAAAGGAAGCGGGAGGAAGAGGAGAAGGAAGGAGAGGAGGAAAGGAAGAAGGGGGAAGGGAGGAAGGG